TATGAACATCATAGCGAGTGAGAGAGAGAGAGAGAGAGAAAGAGAGAGAGAGAGAGAAAGAGAGAGTGACTCGTAATCCGGCCGCCCACAAGTGTCAGGATGCACGACTCCCGGTCGTGTTTACACGCGTGGCGGCTGTCACATTAATAATACTCTGCAATCAAAAACCCGCGACGGCACATCCGGCATTTAAAAAGGCGTTAATACATCGCAGCGGTAGCGGAATTATATCGATACAGGGAGCGATTAGGGTTCGATTACAACCACCGTCACGCGAGCTTTGTACCTAATTAGATACATGCATGCGGGCGGGGGGAGAGGGGTTATTTCAGAGTGCATTAAACTTGCATCGAGATGCTGTGAGTTAAGACTCAATTAAGAGAGAGAAGAAGATGCGCGGTCGTCTTATCGTAAAATATGCTGCGCGGCTGCTGCTCGGATAGGCGGAGGCTGCCGGCCCGCATGGTAACGAGATACGGGAGGATGCACAGGGATGCCGAGGGGATGCGGTGGGGTGCTGGTGGATGAGGTGGGATTCTGGGGGATGCGGTGGAATGCTGGGGATGCGGTGGGATACTGGTGGATGCGGTGGGATGCTGGTGGATGCGGTGGGATGCTGAGGGATGCGGTGGGATACTGTGTGAGGCGGTGGGATGCTGAGGGATGAGGTGGGATACTGTGTGAGGCGGGGGGATGCTGAGGGATGAGGTGGGATACTGGTGGATGCGGTGGGATTCTGGGGGATGCGGTGGGATGTTGGTGGATGTGGTGGGATTCTGGGGGATGCGGTGGAATGCTGGGGATGCGGTGCAATGATGGGGGTGCGATAAGATGCTGGTGGATGCGGTGGGATGCTGAGGGATGAGGTGGGATACTGTGTGAGGCGGTGGGATGCTGAAGAATGCGATGGGATGCTGCCACGTCTAGTAGTCACGGCAAGCCTTGAGATGCTATAGGATGTTTGCAAAATGCGCCGGGAAGCTGCGGTATCCAGTGATTACGGGATATGGTGCGATGGTGATGTGATGCTTACTGAATGATGTGGGATCCTTACGCGGATTGCGGTTAGATGAGGAGGTATTACTGCGAAGTGCTAGCGGGAGGCTGTGATATCACTACAGTAAGGTTGGCTAAGATTCCGACGCCAAGCTGAAAGATCGCACAGAAGTTTGGCATCTGGAAGCTTCCAGGATATCTTTACCCTATGTGTGTTCAGTCAAGCTAGCCCGCGTAAACCCATGTCGCTTGTATGCGTCACTAAATATGGTTCTGTATTTCCTCGTTTCATGTCGTTAGTTTCTACCCACCCTCTGTGAACATGTCGGACGAAGAGGAATACAGTGAGGAGGAAGTTAGCGAGTGAGTATACGCGAGTCTGTGACACCTGCGTCACCACTATCTCCCTTGTACTCGAGTCTCGGGTAATGTATGTTACGTATGTTTACCTGTTACGACTATTGTATGTGTGCGTGTGCGTGTCACGTAAATACGATACATACCCTTAGTACGATGGATGTAGAGGTAGATTTGGTAGATTAAAATTCGTCGAATACGGAGAATATGTGGGGTCGTCTTGCTGTTATCATTCCTCACGACTTTACATCGTTTCCTTTTACAGAGAAGAGGAAGAAGTGAAGCCAGCGTGAGTATCTGTAGAGCAACCCTCTCTCCAAAAACCCTCTCTAATCGACGTCTCATCTGATTATAATCATGCAGACGATATGATCATGCAATGTTTTCTTAGTGTAGTATCGTGGCAAGCAAGCGACGGCGCCCTAACGTATTTAGTGTCTGTTGACTTTAGCAAAAACACTAAGCAGGCTTCTATTACCGAAAGCAGATTTTCGAGCGCATGGTAACAGTTTTTTATGGTTTTAATGGTATATATATATATATATATATATATATATATATATATATAT